GCATGCTTGCAGACTCAGGACTGCTCAGAGATCTTAGCCAATATGCTTTTTCTATTAGAGCGGACCCTCTCTGTTTGCATGGAGATTCTGCCTACCCTTTAATGGTTCACCTACACTGGTAATACTAGTAGCCAGTTTTTTTACCCCATTCCTTCTTCTCCGCAAGAATATTTTCAGTTAGGTCAATTCTTAAGTTCTTGGTCTGGCCATGCAAAAAGGTATAGTAAAGGTGTAGCAAGTTTAAAGGAAATAAAACAACACTATGTATTGAAACAAGAGTAAAGTTTGAAGGTGTTTGTTTATTATTTAGGGTAAAAACAACAAACCTCTGCAAATCTAGTGAGTAATTTATGATAAGTAGCACTGATAATGGCGAAGAAAATTAGAGTGCATTCGACATTGGTATAGAACAATACCAACTCAATAGTTCAAACCAATATTGATCAACTAGTGGGGATAAAAGATGCTGTACTAATTTTGTACTATTTAAATTCATTCCAGTTTCATGCAGTCATACTGAATTTACTCTAGTATTGTGACATACATTGTTCTTTTTTTGTTTGGCACTGTTAAGTCATTGAGACTGGATGCATGATTCATAGTTTACTTAACAAACAACATCTGCTAAAAGAATACAACAATTTTATGTCATAAAAAACGGCAGCCATTGATTGTTGTAAAAAGCGTGCAGTATGTCTCATGAACTATTAGAATCTGAACATGATTTTCGTAAACCCATCCACTGGACTAGTCAGTTTTGGTAAATACAGTCAATTTACTTTACTCAACATAAAAGACAATAAACAACTACCGGGTGGATGCTAATAATTAAAAAATAAATGACGGCCAGTTCTCATCTGACTTGTTTTTCATTTGTTGCACTACTGACTCCATAAGTTTCATGGTGTTTTTTTGCATATTTTAATTAACAACATGAAATCTTGGTGTTGACGTTCGCATAGGTTTTGCTTTTTCTCATCAATTTCTAGCTGTTTGTTGTTTTAACTCGAGACCTTGCTCATTTTTGCCCTGTAGGTATCGATTGCTTCAGAACATTTTGATCTTTTTTTTTCTTCACCACTTTCTTCTGAGTCCTTTCCGCTCCGTTTTAGAGTTTCTCCTAGGCTTTCCATTACTTTTTGCCGCATAACAGCGGCAGTAGCCTTTCCTTTCTCAACTTTTCTTTCATGCTCTTCATCTTTATCCTTATATTCTGATTGAGAATACTTCTCTTTCTCGATGATTTCCTCAAGAAGCACATCAATCTCCGTCTCCTCTACATCTATGCTACTAGCTTTATCCTGCTCTTTCTTTTTAGCAATACGTTTCTCTTTTAAGAGACAAAATTTATCTTTCACCGCTCTTTGGGTAACTGTGAAGGCTGGATTCGTTACATCATTAAATGAGCAACTACAGTACTTCACAGATTAATGCGCTGTTGAGTTCTAGGTTTGTATTTGAAGGGTTCCGTGGCTAAAATCTCTCGTAGAAGGAGGGTATGATGCTCATCGGTCCATTGCATTCTACAGAGAAGAATTACAAATCAAGGATCCATTCTATTTGCAGTCGAATTTAATACACAAGTTCTTATTTTACAGAAAACTTACAAAGATTTGGCTGAACACTGTTTTTAACTTCAAGTACCTGTTGAAAAAAATCCTTCGTTTGAAATTTTTTCTACATCTTATCGCCTCACTAGAAGCCACGGCCGAGAAAAAGCGTAGAGTGGAAGATGCTGGCGAGAAAATGAACGAAATTAAAAAATTTACCTTGTTTATTAGGATTTGAATCTGTCGTTTGCTAATGAACCTCGAGTAGCCTGTTTTCACGTCGTTCACAGATCGAGCACGCGGTTGTCCACCTGTTCGCACTTACGCAATCGCGTTCCCAAGGAAAAATTTACTTCCGGTAGCCGTCGTTCACTCAAGCCATCCTCAATCTTAAGGTCCTTAATTAATTCATTTTCTTTCAACTTCCCATCTCGACATCGGCTGTAACCATCTGCCGAGATCTGAGGACTCTCTACTTGAACGTTAAATGACGGAGTGTACTATCGATATCGTTGTTATCCTCAGTAAGTCTAGAGAGGAATTGGCCAGCTAAAATATCGCAACCCATTCAGTATTTTTCTAAAATAACGGCTCCAACCTTTTATAAGTAAGCGAAAATCATGAGCAAATTGTATTGTAACCAGTTTTCGCAATTTTTGCCCATATTCACCGAACTTGAAGATCTTCGTTCGACTTGTATCGCCAACTGTGTCTTTAACGTTTTTCTTACTTACACCGCCTTCATGTTCAATATTGTGGCATTCTACGCCATACAAAAAGCTTCAACGATGCCAAAAACTTTGAAAACTCTGCTGTTAAGTCTTGCCTGCTCGGATGTTGCTGTTGGTTTGTTTAGTCAACCACTATACACTTTCTTTCTCATCAACTGGCTTCGACTACACAATCCTGGCTGTAACACTCAACAAGTGCGGACGATCTTCAGTGGTATATTTTTAGCTGCCTCGTTCCTTGGTGTTGTGGCTGTAAGTATAGACAGGTTCTTAGCCGTTCATCTTCATCTCAGATACCAGGAGCTTGTGACTCCCATGCGTGTTGTTGTTTTGCTGATCAGTTTATGGCTGTACAGTGCATTTGTTAATTTGATGAAATTGTGGGGGCATTTTAATGCTCAGGATCTTAT